CCACCATCACCATGATTATCATCTCTCCCCATCTCTCCTTTCCTCCTCCTCTTCCTCCCCGTTATCTACTTTATCCTCACATTTTCCTCTTGGCACATCATCTCGATTTACATCGTCATCCTCAAGCCTCCTCTTCATCACTATCTTTATAAATTCCAAGCTCCTCCCACTCTGCTTCCTCCCCATCCACCTCTGGCTCCGCCTCGTACTCCTCCCCATCATCCCGATCAACCTCCTCATAATCACCATGCACCAAAGTGTTCACACTATTACAACTGCCACGCTCATCATACTTATACTGCTACTGAAATGAACCATCCCATGTCTCTTTCCACAATCTGACGCGTTTCAACTTCTTGCCTGGGACTGTCCGCAAGAGAAGACCCACTACACTTCATCATTTGGCATGCTTGCGTTGCCAAAGAACGAAGAACCGCGTGGGTGTGTTAATATGTGCGTGCGTGCACTAGCGAAGCGCACCATGACCACGGGGTTGCGCTGTTGACCGTGACTGGTGAGCGGCAACCGTGAAAACCCAAACGGCTGCGTATACCTATATAGAACAAAACATATACACCTACATATTTACACACATTCATATGGCAACCCACCACACCGCATGATCATACATGTGGGCCCCAATGATCATTGTGGGCTCAGCCTCTTCCTCTTTTTCGATTTCTGATTTGTTCTTTCTCTCCCTCTCTCTCTCTGTCTATATGCTTCTCCTCCCCTCCTCTTCTTCTCCTCCTCCTCCTGCAGGAGCGGCCTTGCCAAAGGATTCGTTTTGAGGCGGTCGTGCGGTTTTTGCAAGGAAGCCCGATGAATAAAACACAGATGTTCCACATACTGTTGCATGTCTTGGCAAGGAGGTCATGCAAGCACATACCAATTACACCTAGTCTAACATTTTCTGGCAATAGGCACCCTTCCTGCTCATGCCCCATAGCCTCCTTTCAGAGCGTCCGTATCCAGAAACGCTTAAATCTCTCTCTCTCTCTCTCTCTCTCTCTCCCTTATATGAATATGTATATGTATGAGGGACATATATGTGTTGTTGCAAGATTTCCTTACCAAAACCTGGGCTATACATGGACTATGTGCTTTCCCAAGGCTTCCTTGCCACAACCTTCATCTCGAAACATATAGACGTATATACACATACATACGTACGTCCGTATATACACACATAGCACCATACGTACGCACATACGCATATATGGTCGAGGGTTTGGGCCCCCTCCCCATGCTAATACCATCGGCCCCCTCCCGCGCCATTCGCCCCCCCCCCCTCCCCCCCCCCTGTGGGCGTGGGCGTGGCGTGGTGGCTCCCCCCCCCTTGTGGATGTGGTGTCGGTGTGGTGTGTTTCTGTACGTGTGTGCGGGGTGACGCCATGGTCCCCCTCCCCTCCCCTTCCCCCCTTGTGGGTGCGGTGTGGGTGCGGCGCGTGGCTGGGATTGGCGTCATGTTGACAGCTCCGGTGCTCGACGTCGTCGCCGCCGCCGCTGGTGGTGCCGTCGACGTCGTCGTCGTTGTCGTCGTCGTTGTCGTCGTCATCGTTGTCGGTGTCGGTGTCGTCCTCGTCGTCGTCGTCGTCGTCGTCGTCGTGGTGGTCGTCGTCGTCGTCATTGCCGTCGTCGTCGTCCTCCTCCTCCTCTTCCTCCTCCTCCTCGTCCCCGCCCTCCCCCCCCATCCCATCGGGGGGGGGCCGAGGACCCTGGGACCCATCCCATCTGGGGGGGGGGGCGAGGACCCGGAGCCCGCGATCATATATACACGTGTGGTCCCCAATCAGTGCTTGCATTGAAAGGGTCCTGGCAAGAAATTATTGAAAGATTTGGCAAAATGTCCGTGCCGATTTCGGTTGGCGGCTGGGCTCCCCGTTCCAGCTCCACGGTTCCCCGGTTCTGGGCCGATTCGGTGTGCGGCAGGGTTCCCAAGTTCCTGGTCGATCTTCTTATCGATCGGCCTCACCATCGATTTCGTCACCCACCTCTCTAGCAATCTCACGATCGATATCACAGTCGATATCACTATCGATCTCTGACCGGCTACGCCAGCCCACTACCCGATCTGCAGCACGCGCAGCGCAGAGGGGGAAACCATTCTTCTCGGTGGTCTTCGCGCAGAAGCACTTGGAACGGGCACACATCCTCTGAGCTGCCTGGGCCTCGTAAGACTGGGCGTAAAACGGGCGGGCCTTGAACGAGCGAGTGCCATTCACCTCCGGGGATTCACGCACGTCGGAGAGGGCGGCGCCCTCAACCAGCATCAGCACGGGTTCCTTCCTCGCCGAGTCCCGACAACCCTTGGCACACAACACCTGCGCACATCCGGTAGCCCAGAAGGCGATCGCTCCTCGCTCGGCTCCGACTCAGACGCTCGGCGCCGACTCAGTTTCAGAGTTGGGGTCCATGGCTACCGCTGCCGCCTCGGTCGAGCTGCTGCCCGGGCGTGGGCGCCCCCACCTCCGGGGCGCAAAGCACCCGCGCGCCCTCCTAGCAAACCCCGACAATCCACTACACGTTCAAGAGCAGCTGCTCTGCTCCCCGTCCTGGCTCGCCCCGCAGGCGTGAGCTCGGCCAGGTCAGACACGTTGATCGTGGAGTTACGGCCGACAACGCACGACGAACCCACATAAACCATCGGCCTGTCGCCCGGAGGCAAGGTGCACGGCGTCGCCGAGCACAAATGCACCAGGCCGATCCCGGCGTCGTAGCCTCCAGATCGGCCTCGAGGTGCCGATGCGAGCTGCCCTTGACCCCCTCGAAGCGGTGGGCGCACCCGTGGCGGGTGATGCGGCTGCCCTTAATGGGCCCCTGCTCCAGCTGCGCGACTGCCCCGCTCGACTTGATGACGAGGTCTTTGGGCATCATGTTCTCTGAGCTGCCTCCTCGCGTTCTCACCTGATCCTTGACGTAGTCTGCGTCGACGGCCTCAGCCTCATCCGGGCCATGCCAGGTCAGAGCAGCACCAGGCTTGACGTCCAGGGCGACCTGCACGCCATGGCCCGTCTTGCCCCCCTTGACGAAGCCGTGCGCAATCGTAAATGCGAACGAGCAGCACGTTCAAGCCGTGCGCAAGACCCAAGAGATGAGGCTGATCATGGAACCGACGACGATGACCAACCCCGCTGCCGCCACACTCAGGGTGAGCCCTTGGGGCCGATGTACTCGCCCATGACGTTCACCATGCCCATGAGGAAACCGATCGCTCGGTGGAGCATAGCACCCAGTGCGTGGCCGACTGTCTCGCCCAGCCACTTGAGCGCTGCCTCGAACCACGCGTTGGCCAGGCAGAGCCCGCCCGGCTCGGCGTTGCCTGCCCCTGGGAAGCCGTTGGAGGGGCGGTCTGAGGGTGGCGGCGCTTCCTCAGCGGCCACGCCCTCGCCTCCTCCGGCTGGCGGCTCCTCTGGCGGAAGAGGTGGCGCCGACGCGGGCTGCGCGCGGGTGGCGTTGCCAGCCTGTTGAGGCGCGGCCACAGCCGGGCGCCGCAGTGGTGCGGGCGGCTGCCGCTCGCCCACCCGAGGTAGCTCCGACTCTCTAGGCATTGCCTAATCCTCTGGCAACGATCTGGGCGCCGCTGGCGCCGCTCGCTGCTCCGCCGGGGGGTGGGCTCGGCGCCTCCCCGTCTTCGTAGTAGCACGCGAAGTAGTCGTACTCCTCGTAATTGGTGGCGCGCCCACCCGAACCGGCCATGGCTGGCGGCGGGCTCGTGGTCGGGGGCGCCTCGAGCCGCGGCGCCGCCGCCTCTTCCTGCTGCCCCGTCCCTGCGGGCAGCGCGGGGTCGGCTGGCTGGCCTTCCGCAGCACTCTCTGCGCAGCTTGCGCCGTAGCAGAAGTACGCCTCGAAGTCGGTGCGACTCTCGTGCGTCTCCTCTGTGCCGGCGCCGCTCGCGGCGCCTGGCTCCTCCCGCGCGCGGCCCTCGGGCCCAGCGCGTAGCTGGCTGAAGCCGAGAAGGCGGCCGACAGCCCCACGCCCAGGGAAGCGTCTAGCCACCCGAGCGTGGCCACCAGCGCAGTAGAGATGATGCACTCGAGGGACACATGCCGCATCGCCGACGCCTCCTCTCGGCTTCTTCCTCCCTCAGACCGCGGGCGCCTTGCTGGGGCGTCCGCCGCGGGCCGCGGGGCTCCCCTACGGAGCCCCCGCCCGCACCGGAGGGGGGACCTGGCCCAGCCACTACCCAGCACTCCTCGGACTGCCTGGCTGAGCCGCAGGCTGGACCAGCGAGCTATGACCCCGCCCGCCCACTCCAAAAGAGATCCAAGGCTCTCACGAGCCTTGAGCAAACGGCAGCGGAAGGGGGAAAGAGAGGACAGGGACGAGCATAGGAGAGGCTGCGAGAGGTGGGGAAGCCTGCTGTGGTAGCGAACGTCTAAAACCCTCCCCTGGGGAAGCCTGTCGGTCTGATGACAAATTTCTTTACGGATCTCCTAGTTCGATCACCCCCCAGGGGCAAACGCCCCCGGGGGGCTGCGTCGGATGGGCACCACAACCAACATCTGCATGTCTGAAGGAAGAGGAGAAGCAGGAGGAGGAGGAGGAGGAGGAGGAGGAAGAGGAGCAGGAGGAGGAGGAGGAGGAGGAGTGGGAAAACGAGGAGGAAGAGGAAGAGGCGGAGGAGGAGGAGGAGGAGGAGGAGGAGGAGGAGGAGGAGGAGGAGGAGGAGTGGGAAAACTAGGAAGAGGAGGAGAAGGAGGAGGAGGAGGAGGAGGAGGGGGAGATGAAGTCCCTCCATTCCTTCCCCTGTCCCCTCTCCCACCTCCCCCTCCCTTCGCCCCCCTCCCCCCCCGCCATCTCCTCCTCCATCCCCCTCCCTGGGATACCGATACCGCTACTCCTGGGACCTCTCCCGGGGTGCGTTCCGACCAAATTTTCGAAGCGAATCCAGCGGCAGCGACGAGGGCCTCACAGGAGGCTCCAAAAGGGAAAAACGAGGGAGAGCAGCGATATGGGTACCGTTTCCTCCTCTGACCCCCCTCCCCCTTGCACGGGTCCTGCACGCGGAGCCGCCCGCCACGCCTGCGCATCCCCGCCAGCAGCCGCTCCTCCAGCGCCACGGCCTCCTCGGGGAGCGCCGGGGGTGCTGGGGCGCGGCTCGCCCCCCCAACCCCCAGCTGTGGGCGCCGCGCGTCTCTCCGCGGGGCCTCGCCCCCCCTCCCCCCCACCCCACGAAGCCGCAGCGTGATCCTCTGCCCATACCGGCGCCAGAGACCGTCAAGGCAGCTCTGAAGCGACCACAGGTGACCCCGACGACGGCCCCAAGGGGGTCCCAAGAAGCCCCCAAGAGTCTCCAGGAGGCCTGCTGGAGGCCCCCAAAAAGGCCCCAGGAGGCCGCAAGAGACCTCCTCTCCCTCCTCCTCCTCCTCCTCCTCCTTCTCCTCCTCCTCCTCCTCCGCCTCCTCCTCCTAGTTACATTCGAAATCTTCCTCCTCCTCCTCCTCCTCCTCCTCATCCTTCTGCTCTGTTCCCACTGTCGATGGAGTGACGATACCGAATTGGATGATTACGCAACGAATGACACAAGCGAAAAGGGCACCACGTGGTCACTTTCAAACACATGCTCCTGTTCTTCCTCCTCCTCCCCCTCCTCCTTCCGTCGCCATTTTGGCCCAAACTCGAACGCCACGCCTCGGGCTTGTCCGCAACTGTACAGCAAGCTCGGGTGCTTGCGGCGATCAGTCCTGGTCTCACTTGCAGGGGGTTCGCGACCCCACGCACTCTCACAACTTTCGTTGCCGCGCGGCATGGTCCCGGAGCCTCCCTCGGGGCGCTTCCCCAGGCCATGTGCCGCCCAGAGTGGCTACAAGTCGTCAGAGTGGCTACAAGTCGTGATGTGGTAAAGGCTCCTGAGGATGCCAGTGCAACCTCGTGGACTGGAGCAGGTGCTCTCGATACTATGCGGGGTCATTTTTGTCCATGGGCAGACGGTGAACCACTGATTGAGTAAGCATGGCAGTTGGTCGTCAAAGGCAGCCGTGGCCGTGGAGGCCAGTCAGCCGATCCAAAAGCCCCTGGTGGCATCCGCAGACGTGCGGCTCAACCGAGGGGGGGGCACAACTGCGGGAGCTGGCAGAGGAGCCGGTCTGGCCAACAATGGGAAGGGAGTCTCGTCGTCTGGCGGGCGCGATCGTCTTTCAAAAGCTCACTGGGCAGCTCAAGCTGGCAGGTCTCCACTATGGTCTTCACATACTGGTCGCTGCTCGACGAGTCGTGCCCCTCGTCACCGCCGACGGGGAATTTCCTCCACGGCCCCTCGCGCACTCCTCACGCGGGTCGAATTCTTCTTCGCACCACGCATCGTCTTCGTTACACGCCTCGTCTACATCGAAGCATTCCTCTGGGCTTGCGTCAGCAGTGGTTGCAGCAGGATGAAGATTGGTCCTGGGATTGTGTCGTCAGCCCCCTCGAAGCCCATTGCAGCAATGCTTGCAGTAAAGGGCTTCAAGGAGGAGGGGTGCACGCAGCCGAGGGGGCGCATCCACGAGATCAGGCGGCCGCAGAAAGACGCACCGCACGCGACCGGGCCCTCAGGCCCACCGCCAGTGAAGTCAAGCGCCACCGCCGGTGTCCGTGTGGGTGCAGCCAGCGCGCACTGGACGGAAGCGCCAAGGCTTCGAGGAGGAGGAGGAGGAGCCCTTCCTTTGCACGCCAAGAAGTCTGCTCTTCGTCGCGATCAGCTTTGGAACATCGGTACCCGCGCGCCCGTCGCCGAGCTCCGAGACGGCAGGAACCTGACGTACCTGCAACAGCAACAACACAACCGCCAGCGACTCTGCGCGTAGGCTGCGGCTGGCCAAACGTTGTCCTAGAGCTCGGCGGCGTTCGGGAGTCTTCGTCGGTTCTTGAAGACCTTGATCGCCTCGGAATGCTCTCCAGCAGCTGCGCCTCGCCGAGAGCGTTCCAGGAGTGCCCCTGATCGTTCCGATCGGCCGCCGGAGGCCCGCGCTATGGCCCAAAGGCCACTCGGCAGCTTCGGGTCGTGACGACCTGTCCTTTTGGTTATCTGAGACACCGCGTGGATCGTTCAGCCCCGAGCGATCGCGGCTGTCCGATAGCGCCGATCGTTCGCTAGCAGCCGACTCCGGGCCACCAGTATGAAGGGGCCCTGGGACACACAAATAAATACACACAAATAAAAATATTCCCCATATTTTCCAATATTTTCTGGGTTTTTGTCTTCCCGCCCAATTCCCATATTTTCCCATATTTTCCTGGGAATCGACGATTAATTGTGTCTGTGTGTTTTTTCCCCTCCTGACAGTAGCGTTCCACCTCCAAAATCCTGCGCTAGGGGCGCCGCCGCGTCGGCACGACACGGACCTGCCGTTGGCTGGGCGTGCGGGCGGTCCCAAAGCTGATGACGCCCCTGTCCATGACAGGAGAGAGAGACAGACAGGAGCGCGCCGAGTCCGCCAGCCGGTCGGCCAGCGGGCCCCCTGGGGGCAGCGCGGATGGGCCGGGGCCCGGTTACGACTGCACTTGCTGGACGAAGGCGCGTGTCCCAACGGCGTCGGAGCCGGAGTCGGAGAGATGGGAAGGGACCAAGAGCACACCTGTGCACCTGCGCATGGAAAAAACAAAACATCAGGCCAGAAATCAGTACAGCCACCCAATCAAGACAGCATCGATTCAAGGCTTCCTCGAACCTGATTCACGACTGGCTCGATTCACGCTTATCTCATAATGGATCCTCTTCCCTCTTCCCACCTTCGCCTCGCGCGACAGTGGCAGGAGGCTCCAAAACGCGAGCATGCGGTGGGACGAAGAGGGCTCCTCCTTCTCCGCGATGGCTCGCTGGAACCGGTACACCTCCCAAATGACCTTCCTCATGCCCTCGGCAAGCGTTCCTCGTTGGCCTTGGCAGGCGCGGCTCTCGGATACATTCACCACATGAAATCTCAGGCAAGGAGAAAGCAGACCACAACTCGTGCCATCCCAGGCGACCGGTGATCGACCACCCCTCGCCCCCGTCAACCATACGCGCATCCTGGTCTCGCTGAACACATCATGTTGCACGAATCCGTAGCGAAAAGCACCACAAAGCCACGCGCCCGCACATGCCGAAATCATACCAACCAAATGAACTCTACAAGCGCAGCCCCATTACCTTCTTCTACAGGAAACTGCACGTGCTCTGCCCGCGGGCACTTGCTAAAATCCGCCGACCTCTGGTTACCGGGGGCGACAAGGCGTTTGAGATACTTGGTTGTCTCCCTCACCCTTTCCCCCTCCCCCAGGGTCGTAAAACGCGTTTGAGAAATCCCCCCCCCCCCCTCGGGGGAGCACGAGCTCGTCAACGCACCCCAGGGGGCGCACAGAGCCTCCGAATCCTAACTCCGTGGTCTCCAATATGCCTAAGATTCCATCTGAACTTGCTCCGACTGGGCTCCAAGACGCAGAAAAAGCCCCAAAGACACCCACAATAGCCTCAAAATGGCTCACGAGGCTTCAAAGACGCCCCGGGAGGGCTCCAAAAGGATCTCCACGAGGGTCCCAAAAGGCGAAACTCGTCTCAATGCCTACAGACAGCGTGCATTATTTGCATGTTGCCCTCCTCGTCTTCACAGCGTCCTAGGCGTCTCAAGAAGTCAGCAAGATCATTCCACAGCGAGCTAACAAACCCCCTTGATGGTCCCAAGACCGCCCAGGAGGGCCCCAATACGGCCCAAGAGGCGCACAAGACGGCCCAAGGGGACCCCAGCAGGGCCCTCAAACAGGGCCCAAAAAGGTAAGCCGCTCACTTTTCAAATCTTCCGCCCCAATGGAGCCCCCGAAACCGCAGGCAAGTGCCCAAGGGCCCCCCAAATAGGCCACAAGAAAACCCGCACATGCCCAACAGAAGTATCCATATTCCCTCGAAATGTCCCCATGAAGCTCCAAAAGGCATTACTGGTGAACATTTTACCTCTCCTGGTGGACATTCAATGCTTGCGTTCACCTCATAATCCGCCTCTTCCTGCTCCAGTCCTCATCCTGTTCCTCCTCCTCCGCCGCCTCCTCCCCCTCGTCCTCCTCCATCTCTCACTTCTGCCTAGTCCTCGTGGTCTTGAGAGCGCCATGGCTGTCGCATTCGTCGGGCATTTGTCGGACTCCTGGCCCCATGGTCGGGTGCTCATACGTTTCCAAGAACACGCTGCGTAGACTCTGCACTGCTTTTCAACTAGTTACGACAACCACGCAAACTGCCCAAACATTGCGTTCAAGTACTTTTGTGCCAGTGTCGACCTCTTCCATGCGCGGCGACTGCGCTATTGGCCCTCGCCCTCCCAAACATGTATCAACCCAACACGGCTGCAACCCATGTCGTCATGCACGCCCGTATAAACAACAGCTCGCCCTACCAATTCCTATGGGCTCCTCACCTCGTCTGGTGCTAGCGGAGTGGCGTAAGCCTCTGTAACAAAAAACGCCACATCACTTTTGCACTCCCGCCCAGAAACACGTTTTCTCATGTCACCACGCGGTGCATCTGCGATGACCCGGCATGCGCCCAATGCACGAGCCCGTATGAAAGAACACAGTGCGGGCCACAGGCGCGCGCCGCCACGCGCACGTGCCGAGGCCCGTACCAAACGATTGGTTCTCGAAGCATTTCAAGATCGAGCTCTTTCAAACAGATATCAAAATCACCTTTGCCGAACCATCAACATTCCATGTGTATTGGACTCCTGAGCGCGCGCAGCTCTTCACCATCACCCCCATGAACGTCATCGCATCACCACCGTCATCGTCATCGCCTGTTGCCACCACCATCAGCACAATCACCTTCATCCGACACGTGGACATCATCATCATCGTCATCGCCGTCACCAGCATCGCCGTCAGTGGCCTTGCCGTCATCATCGCCATCATCGCCACCACCATCGCTATCATTATAATCATCGTTGCTGGCATTGTCGACATCATCATGATACCGCGCCCGCCCGCCCCACCGACCTGCACTGAAACGCCCGCGCGCCAGCGTGGCCTTTGAGACGCGCTGGGGATTCCCATAGGAAAGCGCCATCTCGGCCTCCCTTGCTGTGCCAAACCAGCTGGTCGCTCTGCGCGCGAGGGTGCGCGCGCCAGCACGGCCGCAGAAGTGAACCAGCCAGTGCCACGCAATCACTGCAATCGCGGCCGCGTGGATCGAGGGCCGGTATCGACCCGCCCACGCCATCCCTCTCAACTCACACAGCGCGCCCACGCCGGTTTATCTCAAGATACATTGTTTCGATCACCTTTGCAAAACATACCGCGAAGTCCACGCGCGCGCAAATCTCGAAATCACACCAAACACATTAGTTGTGCAAGCATTTCAATATAAAAGCCATGGGCTTCTCATCAGCCATCTTGCCGATGTTCTGCTCGCGCGCGCTGGCTGAATCATCGGAAAACCATATGAATTTCAAAATCTCGCCCAGAACCTTCATTCTCATCCCCTCAGTCGGTGCATCCGCGTTGATCGAGCATGCGCCCAGTGCACGAACCCGTATCGAATAAACCATGCGGGCCACATGCGCACGCCGCCACGCGCGCGCGTCGAAATCCGTCCAAACCCGAGCCTTTTCGAAGCATGCCAATGTAGAGCTCGTCAATTCTCCTGGCGAAGGGCCGAGCCAGAGGCAGGCCTGAGCATCGCAGGGCAGGCGGGGGCGAAGGAGGGAGGGCTGCCTATTCGGCCACGAAGCGTGGGACGGGTGTGCCAAAATGGGGCGGGGCCGCCATGCCGGCGCTGTCGTCGGGGCCTTCGGTGGAACTCCCTCTGGGGCCACGAAGCGTGGGCAGCCATGCTCACGCCGCCGTTGGAGCCTTCGCTGGAGCTCCAATGAGGCCACGGAAAACATGCGATATGTGTGCCAAAACAGGGCGGGGATGCCATGCGGGCCCTGTCATCGGGGCCTTCGGTGGAGTTCCCTCTGGTGCCACGACACGTGTGATGGGTGTGCCGAAATGGGGCGGGGGCACCATCCGGGCACTGCCACCAAGACCTTTAAATGAGCTCCCAATGGGGCCACGAAGCGCGTAAAAAGGGTGTGCTGGAATGGGGCGGGACCGCCATGCGAACGCAGCTACTGGGGCCTTCGGTGGGAATTTTCATGAAGCCACGAAACGTGAGAGAGGTGTGCGGACAGGGGGCGGGACCGCCATGCAGGCGCTGCCTCTGGAACCTTCGGTGAGGATCCTTATGGGGTCGCGAAGCGTGTGAACGGTGCGCCGACATGGGGCGGGGCCGCCATGCGAATGTAACCGCTGGGGCCTTCAAGGGGCACCCCCGTGGGGCCACGAAACGGGCGGGTGGCGTGCCAGGATGGACACGCGGACGACTGAGGTAGGGATGGGAGGAGGGGAGAAAAGAAACACAATAATAACAATAAAATAAGAAGGAATATAAGAAGACTAACACTAATACTATTCAGGAGAAGAAAAGAAACATAAACACATTCGAATACTTAGAGCACCGCAGATGCGGATAAGAGTGAGGGGGCGGTGGGGACGTCGGCAGTCTGCGAGACTTTGTAAAAGCCCGCCGCAGGCGCCACAATTTCACAAATCATGCAACGGGCCCGCCGCAAGTGCTTAATATTTTCGTTAAACCAATGTGGGTAGATCGCGGGTGGGTCGCGGGTGGGTCCCGGGTGGGTCGCGGGTGGGTCGCTGGGTGGGTCGCTGGTGGGTTGCCGGGTGGGTTGCCGGGTGGGTCGCGGGTGGGTCGCGGGGTGGGTCGCGGGTGGGTCGCGGGTGGGTCGTGGGGTGGCTCGTGAGGTGGCTCGCGAGGTGGGTCGCGAGGTGGGTCGCGAGGTGGGTCGCGGGTGGGTCGCGGGTGGGTTGCGGGTGGGTCGCAGGGTGGGTCGCGGGCGGGTCGCGGGTGGGACGACGACAACAAACAACAACAACGCAATAACGCAACAACGCAACAAGCAGACTCCTCACCACGGATCCCCACTTCAGCCACGCACCCAGGGACAATGAATGACCGCTCGGCCCCCTCACTCTGACTAGTAATAATATGAGTCATAATGCTAATAATTCAAAAGCACTGTTTTATAACAGTGATTGTGAAGAACGTAACACCCCGCATATGCGGATGAGAGTGATGGGGGCGGGGGGGAAGTCGGCAGTCTGCGAGACTTTGTACAAGCCCGCCGCAGGCGCCACACTTTCACAAATCATACAACGAGCCCGCCGCAGGTGCCGATTTTTCCGTTAAAACAATGTGGGTTGGTGGCAGGTGGGTCGCGGGTGGGTCCCGGGTGGGTCGCGGGTGGGTCGCGGGTGGGTCGCGGGGTGGGTCGCGGGTGGGTCGGCGGGTGGGTCGAGGGTGGGTCGCGGGGGTCGCTGGGTGGGTCGCGGGTGGATCGCGGGTTGGTCGCGGGTGGGTCGCGGGTGGGTCGCGGGTGGGTCGCGGGTTGGGTCGCGGGTGGGTCGCGGGGTGGGTCGCGGGGTGGGTCGCGGGGTGGGTCGCGGAATGGATCGCGGGGCGGGTCGCGGGCGGGTCGCGGGTGGGACGACGACAACGAACAACAACAACAACAACAACAACAACAACAACAACAATCATTTTACCCGAACGCGTGGTGTTCTCCCCAGTGCCAGGGTTTTCATACGACACCAGGCAATACCCCCACTTCGTGGGGGGGCATTACAAGCTCTACCAAATATCCAAACGACTCTTCGCGACCACCCAAACCCAGCTTCCCGCCCTATGACGTTGGGACACTTCACTTCGTGGCGTGCGGACGACCGTGGCTACTACACTGGCGTGGGGTACACACCCACAGAACTTGGTCACTTATTCGGGGCGCGCATGTGCCCAGCATGGTGCAATTGTGCCATACAATACATAATACAGAGAGACAGAGAGAGAGACAGAGAG